GGATAAGGGACAAGAGTCCTAGAATGAAGAGGGAACTCAACTTGGATATGGACAAGAGTCCTAGATTGGGAGAAGACTTCAGTTTGGGTAAAGATAAGACTCTTAGAGAGTTTATCCTAATCCCACTGGGAGTCCCAGATTAGCAGTAATCCTAAGTCCATTAGGGCCAGGCTCCTTTTGGGACTAGGATTGTATTGGCTATAAAAGAGAGGCACCCCATGGGTCTAAGGTATGCTTTTGATACTCAAACTTGTGAGTTTAGTACTTGATTATCTTTGAGAGATATACTGACTTGATCGTCGGAATGCCCCGGGTGGTCGAAACCACCGCAAGATTCTTATATTTCTGTTACAGGTCAGTCAGGGGCCATCTATTCTGCCAGTGCTCTCCAGCTGGTTACTAAGCGGGTAGTGTGGTCGGAAAATCACCCACACAGTTAATAATGTTTTACAAAATTAAAATTATATATACAAAAAGGCGTTCATTTGGATGAGATAAGACCTAAAGTTTTTTAAAGAAAAATAAATTTCAAAGAGGAGATGAGTACTGAAAAAGAACAAAAAAAAAACAGAAATACTTTGTCCTAATTTTTTTTTTAATTCCTAATGCAATAAAGGAACAAAGATTCTGAAAAAAAGGAACAAAGATTCTGAAAAAAGGATCCTAAGCCAAAACAAGAGGCAACTGTTCTATTTTGTAACTGCACGTGCGCACGCGCACCCACAAGATAAATTATCAATAGATCCTAATAGTTGGACTTAATTCCCATCAAATTCTATTGAACATAAATTCTAATAAAATTGTTGCTAAAAATAATTTTTTGTGACGATTTTTTATATGTCGTTAAAAATTGACAATTAGTGACTTTTTTTTGTCAGAATTTTTATAAATTGCAACTAAAATTTAAAATTAGTAACATTTTTCTATGATAAATTTTACAAACTGTCGCTAAAAATTAAAAATTAGTGACATTTTTTCGTGACAATTTTTTTAAAGTATCGTTAAACTTTTAATTAGTAACATTTTTTATAATAAAATTTCAAATTGTCACTAAAAATTAATAATTAATTATTTTTTTAAATAATATTTAATAAAAAATATCATTAATTATCATAAAACATATTAGACAATAAATTCACTTATTAATATTTACACATAAGTCTCCCCCTCTCTCTATATATATATATATATATATTGTGCCAAAGTGAAGAGAGGAGTCAAGAATCTAAATATATAATTCGACCTTTTTAATGAAGAACAGTAATAAGTAGCACATATTATGCATGTGCATTGGACACCTCAACTTTATAATCATAACGGGCAGCAGTCTTGTGAAGTCAACCTCAAATTTATGGAGTTTTCTTAAGTGTGCAAGTGCACACCATGTGCCACTTATACAAAAAGTGTAAGTGTAAGGTGTAAGTATAAGTATAAGGTGTAATGCCAAAGTGAAGAGAGGAGTCAAGAATCTAAATATATAATTCGACCTTTTTAATGAAGAACAGTAATAAGTAGCACATATTATGCATGTGCATTGGACACGTCAACTTTATAATCATAACGGACAGCAGTCTTGTGAAGTCAACCTCAAATTTATAGCAAACATTTCAATTGGGAAATCATCATATTAATATTGATATGTATGAACATATTGTAGTTTCAAATTTTTTTGAATCAATTTTGGTGTTACACCTATATGGCTACACTACACCACCTTCATTTAAATTCTATCTTCTTGTAAGAACCTTTTGAATTGAAACTCAAGTGTAGTTGTGGAAATATTTCTTCAAAATAAATTGTGATTAGATGAATGAACTTATTTAAAATTACTTTTTTTTTTTTCCGATTAATGAATAAATTCTCTAAGTCTGTCTTTCGTTGACTTTGGAATCAACTACCTAATGTTAGTTAATTGGAGTAGGATGAGGGGCAAACCTCAGGTGTGTCTACCGACTCCACAATGCACACACAATTTCAATTAAAGAGTGCAGCAGTTAGAATTTACCCCACACTAAAACCCTGAATACAGATTGTCCAGCACTTAGAAGGCCGTCATAGGACTAATGCACCAAACTCCTAAGAGTTGACCCTTGAGAATATGAAATCTAAAATCTTAGGACTTATGCCTCAAGATCTTACCAAAGTATCACAACTTCTTGGGTTAAAAAAAATAAAAAAAAAAATTCACCTTTTCCCTCCTTTTAAAATCATGATTTAGCCTCTTTCATGTGTCAAATGCCGGCTTGAATCCACGTAATCATCTAACCACAATACTTGGACATAAAATATATAGCAGTTTATTAATTTTTTTTTTTAAAATGGTCTATCGTACAAACATATAGTATTGCTAAATATTGTGATAAAAATATAAGGTAAATTATATTGATCTCTTTTGAGATATAATATTATAATAAATAAATAAATAAATAAATGATAATAAGGTCTCGTTTGGGGACTAGTCGGTTTAGTTACAAAGTTATTAAAAAAGTTAAAAAACCAACAACTCATATAAAAAAGTTAAAGATTCTCTTTTCTCTCTACTTTTTGTATATTTTTTTGTAAAAAGTCAAAAAATCATCTCAAACATACTAGTTTTTTTTAGCTCATATTTTAGCTAAATAGTCAAAAAGCTACTAAATTAATATGTTCCCAAACGAGGCCTAAACTTTACAGTTTTGATATAATTACATTGATATGTTTTTTTAGTAAAGTTAAAAATATCAAAATTAATGTAGATAATATAAAAATACAAAAATATAGCACAAAATAAAAAATATATTTTGATGTAAAAATGATGATAACATTATTTTTTTATTTATAAGATTAATAAATTTTTTATAAAAAAAATATTATATAAATTAAAACTTTAAACGAGGTCAGTATAATTATGTCAAATTTATAAAATTTATTATAATTTTATCAAATCTCCAAAAAAAAATCAATATAATTTATCCTAAAATATAAGTTGGCATAGTGTAACTTTATTTTTAAAGTTATATAAATTTATTTATTTATTTATCGTCACTCTTATCAAAATTTGACAGCACCTCAACTCAACTAAAATAAAAAATATGTATATAAAAAAAAAGGATAAATTACATTTACTTCTCCTGACGTTTGTGACAAGTACAGAAACCTTCTATATGATTTGAATAATTACAGTAATTTCTCCTATTTTACCTGATAATGTCAAAATTCTCCCTTCTGTCAAATTGTTCCAAACGGTGTTAACTTTTTTTATATTAAATTACCTTATTGCCCTTCCTTTTAAAATATTAAAAAATATTTTAGATTGAAGGACTGTTTTAGAAGAAACAAACAATATTTTGAACAATATTTTTTGATTTATTTTTTAAAAATATTAAAAAATGCTTTAAAAAATTATTATTTTATTTTGTAAATATTTTAAATTCAAAACACAACTTCATACTCAAATCGTAACCAAACATATAACTCAAAACTCAATCCAAAAATTATTTTCAAACCTCATAACCAAACACATAACTCGATATTCCACATTACTTTCAAAACCCTACACTCAAATCGTAACCAAACGCATAACAAAAAAAATTAAAATATTTAAAAATATATTTATAAAATAAAACAAAATATTTAAAATAAAAACTATATATTTAAAATAAAAATTATATATTTAAAATTAAAAAAATAAAAAATTTAATTTGTGTATTTGGTTAAGACTCTATGAGTTTTAAAAAGATTTTTGAAAATTTCTAATTGAAATTGTGATTCTAAAAGAGAACCAAACATGTTTCTAAATAAAAACATTTTTCGGAACATGTTTTTATTAAAAACTCAATTCAAAAATTATTTTTGAACTCATAATCAAACACAAACTTAAAACTCAATTCAAAACTCTTTTCAAAATTCAAAACTAAACTTTTTCAAAAACTCCATTTTAAAAGAATTTTTTTTCCAAAAAAATCATTTTATTTTTTAAAATTATTTTTAGAATCATGATTTAAGCGTGGAGTCGTATTTTGAGTTATGAGTTTTGAAAAAAAAAATTATTTGGTTATAAATTTTGAAATTTTTTGAAATTATTTTTTTAGGGTAAATATTTTATATTTTAAATATTTATTTTAATGTGCATTATATTTCATACATCTATGTGTTGTATTTTTTTTAATATTTTAAATATAGTTTTTAAAAATTAAAAAATTTTATTTTTTATTTTAAATATATAGTTTTTATTTTAAATATTTTATTTTATTTTATAAATATATTTTTAAATATTTTAATTTTTTTGTTATGCGTTTGGTTACGATTTAAGTGTAGAGTTTTGAAAGTAGTGTGGAGTGTCAAGTTATGTGTTTGGGTATGAGATTTGAAAATAATTTTTGAATTGAGTTTTGAGTTGTGTTTGGTTACGATTTGAGTGTGAAGTTGTATTTTGAGTTTAAAATATTAAAATTAAAAAAATCAAAATATTAACAAAATAAATAAAATATTTAAATAAAAATTACATATTTAAATAAAAAATAATTTTTTTAAAACATTTCTTAATATTTAAAAAAATAAATCTAAAAAACCTGTTCTAAACACTGTTTGTTTCTTCCAAACTGATCTTCTAATCTAAAAACTTTTTTAATATTTTAAAAGAAAGGACAATAAAGTAATTTAACATAAAAAAAAGTTCATACTGTTTAAAATAATTTAACAGAAAAGAGAATCTTAACATTATCAAATAAAATAAAAAAAGTTACTGTAATTATTCAAAATATAATAAAAAGTCTTATATTTGTCAGAAATATCGGGGAAGTAAATTTACTCAAAAAAAAAAAAAAAAAAAGAGAAAAAAATCTCGCATCAACTCCCGAACTGGACAAAATAAAAAAATTAATTTCAATCGCGCCTTCTTCATTTTCAGAGTAGGCTTTGGCGGGTGTACTCTTGGATCAAAAAAGTTTCAAGACGGAGGTCATTTTCGTCATTTCACGTACTCATGCCGTTAGGGTTTCCCCGATTCGCTTATAAACCCAAGGGTTTTTTTCTAGATCGGCCATGGTGGGTGGCTCTCTGTCGGTTCACTCTCTCTCTCTCTTTCTCTCTGCTTGTCGATCTCAATCAACCAAATTCCGATACAGTCCAACTATCAGTGCAAATCTCTCTCTCTTCTCTCCATATATATAGTTTGTATCTGAGGGGTCTCGTTCATTTCTGTTTAGGGAAGCTCATTATCTGCTCTGCTCTGTTCTGTGCCTCTGATTTGCTATTTGGGTTCCATTTTTTCCCTCGAATTCCGATCTACCTCTCTTTCTTTGTCTGGGTATTGATTTGCTGAGTTGGGTGTCTTGAAATCCCAATAGTTTTGCTCTTATGAGGGTCGATTAGGTCTTGCACACTGATATTCTGTTTTTCAGCAGAGTACTTACTACTACCATTGGTACTCATTCGAGCTATCAATTTCTTCTGGGTTTATTTCAGATCTTCGAAATAGGCTATTTCAATGGTGGATCTGAGTGATAAAGTGAGTGACCACTAGCTTCTCTCTCATCTTTTCACTTCAATTGATCTTCGAGAAAGAGTTTTGATTTGATTGTGCGATGCAGGGATCAGAGTCTGAAGACATGATCAGCAAAACCCCAGATCGGGTCTCGTCAGAAGGAAGCCATATCAAGACCTGTGCTGATTGCGGAACCACCAAGACCCCTCTCTGGAGAGGCGGCCCTGCTGGCCCTAAGGTCAGATTCTCTCTCTATCTCTATATGTATTTGATCAGTGATTTAGGGTTTTGATTTTGATTGTGTGATCTGGGTTTGTGTTTATTCATTGCAGTCACTGTGCAATGCATGTGGGATCAGAAGCAGGAAGAAGAGAAGAGCACTTCTGGGTCTAAAAACAGAGCACAAGAAATCAAAGAAAACCAACAATCACAACAATGGAAGCAACACTAATAAATTGGGCGATTCATTGAAGAGGAAGCTATTAGGGCTTGGGAGAGAAGTGGTGGCGCAGAGATCGTCGGTGCAGGAGCTGAGGCGGCGGAGGAAGCTGGGGGAGGAGGAGCAAGCAGCTGTGCTGTTGATGGCTCTGTCATGTGGCTCTGTTTATGCTTAGCCCTTCTAGATTTTTTAAGTACTAATTTTAGTATTATGATTATTGTTAGTAGTACTAAATGAGAAAGGAGATTTTAATGTTGTCAATAAGTGTATCTTCTAGTATCTTTTCTAAGTTAATTTTGTTTTTGTTTTATTTTATTTTCATATTCAATTGGGCTTAGTTTTGATGATTGTCTACTAACTATGTTTGAGAGTTGGAGAAGAATTGAAGAGGAATGTAAGAATGGGAGGAGATTAATTCTAATTCCATTTCTATTTTGGCTGATGATAGTTTTTGTTAATTTTTATGCACTGTTGGTTTTTTTGGGTTTTTTTTAGGCTTTTGTTTGTTCGGTTGGTGGGATTTGATCAATTTACAAAGCAAGAAGTTGACAATGTTACTGCACAATCATTGTTCACAGTCAAAACCAAAGAAAATGAAATGCCATTATATCTCATCATGATGAGTGAAGGATTTGTAACTCTAAAAAACAAAAGTCTACTGTACCAGTCAATTTTTTTGTCAAGCTGTCTTTTTTTTCTTTCTTTTTTTGCTTAAGACTGCGTAGAGTCGATTTTTTTTTTTTTACTTTTTTTTAAATTCGAATTTGATAAAAAAAATATTTCTAATTTTTTTATCAAATGTTTATCAAATTTAAAATAGAGTTACTTTGCATCAATTTGAGAACTCATTAAATTATCAAATTTAAAAAGTTAAAATATTGAAAATGATTTATTTTTTATTAAATTTGGTATTAAAAAAAAATAAATTTGAAATAAGAGAAAAAAATTTTAAAAAATTGATGAAGAGATTTGAGTAATTGTATCAAATTAAAATTTTTATTTAAATTTAAAATTAAATAGGATAAAATAATAATCTATACCATCTATAAAAGAATGAATGGTGCTCGATCTAACACAAAAAGCCAAAACTAATGAATCTCACACAAAATGCCAAAATACTGTCCAATTGCGCAAAATTGCCTTCCCTTTCTGTAGTTGAATTGTCTACGGTTGAAAAAAGAAAAGGGTTAGGCGTTCGTCAAGTCTAAGATTGGATTGGATCGTGTTGTTGGGTCTGTGGAGATTTATCACGAATCTCGTTTTAATAATTCGAACCGTTGAATGTGTAGAAGTTGTCGGGTACTATATACCTGTAAAAAAATCACGTTGATCAGATATCAATAACTATGTGATCAAATCAGTTTTGTATAAAAAAAATAGACGGTAAACAAATTAACGATTGACAAAAAACTGTTTTGATCACATGGCTATCGATATCTGATCAACGTGATTTTTTACGATAATACAGTACTCAACGAGTTCTACACATTGAATGGTTCGGATTATCAAAACGGGACTCGTGGTGGGCCCCCACGAGCCTAACAGCACGGTCCAGTCCGATCTTAGACTGGACTAAAGCCAAACCCAAAAGAAAAATGCCCCTCACACCATTAATGGTAGAGATTCAAAGGGGGTTGTAAAAGTCTCCAAAAAATGAAGATCTCAATCATTGTGTTTAAAAAAATTATAATCGAATTAAATCATTAAAATTATTGAATCAATTTGACCCAAATTATTTAAACACAATTCGGCTCGATTTGGACTTACGTTTTGACATAATTTGTTTTTAAAAAAAATCATATAACATTATCAAAAAAATTTAACTTATCATCAATTTGAAAAATAATAGTAATATGCCCATCACACAAACAACTCTTATAATATTCAACAATTAAGCAAAAACTTAACATTATTCAACAATTAAGCAAAAACTTAACATTAAGCAAACATTGTTTAACATTAAAAAAAACTTAATATTTAGCGAATAAACATACTATGATTTCAATTAATAGTACTACTACAAATTTAGAAATTATCTAGAATTGTTATCTTGTTATTCATATTTATTTTACATTAAATCCCACACTGCATAAATTTAATCTCCACTACACAACCACTCATCATTTTCCTGTAAATTTAATCTCCACTACACCATCATTATCTTGTAATTTCTTTCTTTTTTTTGTCAATCAACCCTTCTTTTTTATCCTTTTCCTTTGTGTTCAATGATGACCAAATAAGTGAATCTCTTATAGTCGGTGACTATCCAATTTCAATTTTTTGTCTGATTTGGCCATTCTTTTTTTATCATTAATTTTACAAAAGTGAATTTTCCTAACTTTTGCTTTTATCAATACTTCACCATGTATAAGATGATTTCTAATTATAATAATCCCCCAATTTTGCTCATACAATTTCACTCTCAATGATGTGGAATTAAGGATGCTAAATATAGAAGAGAGAAGGGTGTGGAATCGCTTCACATAGAGGGTGGGCCATGCCATGGAGAGTGGAATTAGGAGGGCAAAATTAGGGAGATGTAACACCACTCATCCAATTATTTCATATTTTAGTCAATAACATCGATTTTATTGAGTATTTTATTAATACAAGAGGTACGTGTCATTTCTTTTTTAATTTGAAAAATTCAATATTATGTATATTTTTTGAAAAATTCCAAAATATTTAGTAGATTAAGTGATTACTCCCGTAAAATAATTTTTTCACCATCTTTATAAAAGAAATTATATTCAATCTCCATTGCACCGTTTCTTGCACACTATTTGAAGAAAAATTTAGATAAATACATACAGGTGCTAGAAAAATACATCTATTGTCAAATTTATACTGATTAGTTAATTTTCCAAATATAAATATCATCTGATCATGTGACTATGAATGCTCAATCAATTTAATTTTTTGATTAATGATATACTCAACAAGTCTTACAAGATTAACTATTTACATCACAATTAAACTTCCCAAATAGAGCTCTTATTGGCCTTTTACTGTAACAGTTACGTGGCTATTTCTCGCTTGCTCTAATTGGGAGTGCCTAATGTGTCTTTCCATAGTCCCTCCAAGTGGTTGACATGAGACACTACTCTCGGCTCAACCAATCAAAAGCCAACGTGTGTTTGTACCAAATGCTACAATTATTCGGACCACCGTTTCATAGAAGAATAACAGAGGCAACATTTTTTGGAAGCTAAAAATCCACTTCTCACTCAACAAAAAGAATTTTGGGTAAGCCTTTGCCTTGCTAAGAATTTTAAAGTGCTTTCTATTTGATCTTATGTATTCTGATTTGAATGGGAAACTAATGTATCTTGTTTTCTTTCGTTTCTGCAGTGTTTAACTCTTCTTGCTTTTGATAAATCATGGATATAGTGTGCCAGGTATGTGATAAAATTATCCAAAGAACACATTTACTATTTCCAAACAAGGCAAAGTAAGTTATTGTAAAAAACCTCTAATGCTATGTGTGTTTTAATAAATATTTATTCCTTAGCTTTGGTTTGAAATAATAGTCATCTGTGTGTTCTTTCATAGATATTCATTCCTTAGCTTTGCTATGAAATAACATTCATTGATAATAATAAATGATAATTTTATGTAGAATATATGTAGATTTATTTAGGGCGTAGTAATAGTAAAGTAAACTTGAGAATAGAATGATCATTTTATTTCAATTGTATTTTATTGAACTAAAAACTACTTAGGAGTTGGATCCCATTAAATTTTTATTCCTAAGATATTTTTTTCACTTTTCCCTTATGATAATATTTTCTTATTAGTTTTGTTCGCTTCATTTTTTCAAACATGCGTTCATCCAATATTTGATTGCATATTTCATGCACTACAACAAAAACACATTTTAGTGACACTATACTAATGGCATGTTCTTAAAAAATGTCACAAAAAGAATATTTGGTAGCATTTTTTAGAAAAATGTCATAGAGCCACAAACATACAAGGCTCTAGTGGCATTTCAATTAAAAGAAGTGTCACTTCACTACAACAAAAATGTCACTATAACAAATTTACACTTTAGTGACACTACACTAGTGGCATTATTTTTAGAAAATGCCACAAAAATAAAAATTGGCATTAAATGTTTTAGAAAAATGTCATAGAGCCACATACATATAAGGCTCTAGTGGCATTTCAATAAAGAAATGTCACATCAATTTTATGGCATTTTATAAAATAATGACACAAAAAATTATGTTCGTGACATTTACCAACAGATGCTACTAAACTTTAGTCGCAATGGCATTTTTTAAAAAATATCAGGACACTAGGTAGGTGCAAATTACTTTTTATGGCACTTAGGTGAAAAGTGTCATAAACAAATATTTTATAGCATTTTGAGAAATGTCATTGAGCCAAAAACTTTCCAAGCTTATAATGGCATTTTTGAAAAAACAAAAAATGCCAATATATTTTCTAAAATTTTAAAATGTAATAAATGATTAAAAATAAATAAATTAAACTCAATACACACTACAGGAAAAAGCACATTTGGCGACTAAATTTCTTGACCAAAATAGCATTAGTTTCCAAAAGTCTACAATTGGCAACTAAAACTAAGTTTGGTCGCTGATTATATGGGTTTTAGTGACTAAAATATTTTTAGTAGCCCAAAGTAAAGCTTTTTGGCGACTAAAAAAATTTAGTAGCCAAAAGTCTACAATTGGCGACTAAAAATAAGTTTGGTCGCTGATTATATGGGTTTTATCGGCTAAAAAAAATTTTAGTAGCCAAAAGTAAAGCTTTTTGGTGCCAAAAAAAATTTTAGTAGCCAAAAGTCTACAATTGGCGACAAAAAAATAAGTTTAGTCGCCAAAAGTGGTCATTTTTAGCGAGGGAGAACTAAAATCCTAAGGCGGGAATTAGATTTTTTGGCGATCAAAATTTTGATAGCTGAAAGTGCATCTTCGGCGACCAAATCCGATTTTGGTAGGCAAAAGTTAAGTTTTTTAGCAACTAAAAAATAATTAGTAGCCAAAAGTATAGAATTGGCGACTAAAAAATATTTTTAGTCACTAAAAGTGGTCTTTTTTTATTTTGCTAGTAAATAGTTTATTTTACATAAATTATGTTCAATAAAATAATTATGTTTATACATATACTTTTATATTAATATAGATGTATGAACTATATAAATAATATATGTTGCATATATAATCATGTGGTGCTATAGAGGTGTAGTGGGAAGAGTGTGGTGTATAAGGTTTATGGTGCGGGGGGGTTGGCGGTTCGAGTCTACGCAAGAGCGGATCAAATTGTTCTACAACGAATTATTGTCATGAATAGTGCCTATCATAACATTAAAGTGTCACTGAAAGGTTTTAGTCTTGATGGTGTAATGACACTTATAAATGTCACTAACTCTTTTTTTAATGACGCTTGATAGTGCTACAAATAATATTTACCACGACGTCAAAATATCATTGAAAGTTTTTAGCCAAGATGGTATAGTGGCACTTGCAAGTATCTATCGTGGCACGGATACATATGGCACTTGTTCAAAATGCCACAAGACTAAAAAATATCATTAAACCAATAGTTTCGTGGCACTTTCAAATGTCACTAAACTAAGAAAATGTTGTAGTGATGTTTGATGAAAGCTATATGACTTTTCTTCATTTTCATACTTGCTTTGTAATTAAAAATAAAAATGATCCATATACGATGATCTTCCAAAGTACAAATGATTATTATTATTACTGTTGAACATATTAAAATATTCTCTAATTGAATTTTGAAGAGTTAAATTATTAGATGATATGGTTAAAAAAATTGTCCCAATATGACATTTTTAGTTATATGACATTGTTTACCTCTATTTTTAAAACTAAATTCTTTTAAAAAGAAGATATATAAATGGATGAAATAAGAATATTAATAGTTGCTATATATATAAACTTGATTAATTGACAGATTCAATACTTTAAGCAACTTGATATGCGAAAGAATATCAACAATTATATAACTAAGAATATAAATATATATTTTCATATATGAAATTAACTTAAAAAAATAAATAGCAATGCGACCCCACACGCGTAGGGCGTGAGATCCAACTAGTAATAATAAAAAGTTGGAAAAGCACTGGCAAGTTACAAGTACATTAGGAAAAAAAAAATGTAATATTTTGGCTGCACCTTTATTTATGGGCGTTGACCCAATTGCATCAAGTAAAGGGTTTGATTCTTAACATCCCATTTCCCTACCCTTGGGCGAAAAAAAAATATTAAAATATAATATGAAAAGATCATTCCTAAACCTCTTCATTTTCAGTATTTTTTTATTATTTTTTTAATAAATCATAAAATAAATATTATGATAGAATCATCAATACATCTCATCCTCATTTTAATAAACTAAATACTACTAGCCTTTTTAGCAGTGGCTAGGTTGAAATTCTTGCCTATAACAATGGGTTATTCAGTACAGCTCCGGCCCACCGTAGAAGTCCACTTCGGCAACTTTCAATCCAATCATAGCCCAAACCAACAACCCAACACTTGGCCCAGATAGCTCAAACAGAAAGAGACAATTGAATGTGTACAATCTTACAACCATTTTAGCCCACATGCCACTGGCCCATGCATTTCACAATGAGTGACATGAAAGAAACAACATCCTATCTTCGAATCAAAGAGTTACGAATTTGTGAAAATAAAGAAAAATCGAGGAAAAAGTAACTTTTTAAAAAAATTATATTTCATTCACTTTTTTTTTTCTTTTTTTCACAAATACCTCATTTAGGAACGGGTTATTTTAATAACTTTTTAATTTTTTACGAAAAGACTTATAGAAAAGTAAATAGAGTGATGTAACAACTTATAGTGACTTTTTAACTAAAATTGAAAGTTGCCAAATGAGACCTTATTTTTGAAAAATCCGCCTAAAGTTCATTTGCCTAATGAGTAGACATTAATGTCTCGTTTGGCAACTCACTGTTTTAACCTAAAAGTCAAAAAATTACTAAAAAAATTAAAAAGTCAATAACGGCTTCGTTTGGGAAGCCATGGTTTGGGCTTTTTTTGACTATTTTAGCCACAAAAAACAAAATAGGCTATTTTAGCCATAACAAACAAAACATCACATCCAACCCATAATCATTACATTCTTCTCTCACAAAAAAACTCAAAAAAGTCAAAAAGCCAAAAAACCCTTCCCAAACCAAGCTTTTAAGCCCAGACTAAAATAGCCAAAAAAGCCAAAAAGCCAACCCACTTCCCAAACGGAGGCAACATATATCAAAAAATCAAAGATTCTCTTTTCTCTTTACTTAATCTTTGGCTTTTTGTACATCTTTTCGTAAAAAATTAAAAAGTCATTCTAAACATACTAATTTTTTTTTTACCTCATATTCAACTAAAAACCAAACAGTTACTAAAATAATATGTTCCCAAACGAAACCTTAGAGCAATTTGGGAACCTAGTAAAAAGCTAGCTTTTTGACTTTTTACCAAGTTCTTCCAAAAAAAAAATCACAAAAAAGCCCATTTTTTGCCAAAATACCAATTTTTTACCAATTTTTCAAAACACCCCATATAATACTACAAAGCAATATCACTAATGAGAAATTTCATGCTTTTGGTTTGTAAGAGACAAGTGGTCTCCACGTACCCCAAAAGTATTTAATCTCACTTTATTTCCCACATCTATAAATATATATATTTTGATCTTATTAACTGTAAAAATATATTATTTTCAGCCCTCTAGATTACTTCCAAAAGAGATGTATTTGTATACTTTCCATAATTAAAGTAATAAATATATACAGATTCATGCTAATAGTTAAAAGGGTTAATTAATTTGGACATCAATTTTAACCTTGAGAATTAGCGACATGGAGACTTTGACTAGTCAAAGTTGCATCACAAATTTGGGCAAATTCCACACTCAAGGCTAGAGTGAGTTCAACTAATGTTCTGAGCGAAATATTCTAAACCCAAACGACATATTGCGTAGAGTTTAGAGTGAACAGTTCATTATGAACATAATAATTAAAACATTTGAAATCGACTTGCCAAGTTAGTATCCTAATCCTAGAAATGACGTCAATTTATCAAGTTCATGGTTCGAGCACCGTATCATTGTGAGAGTTTCAACCTTACAAACAAGGTCATAATTGATATTTATTGACAATTACATTTAGGTCATGTTTGACTCACAAGACTAATAGTGAAGTATTAATAATCCTATTAAATTAGTGTGGTATTCATTATCCAATTGGATTAATATCCATTGGATTAATAATCCCACCCCTACCCCATTACTAATAATCCTACAAATTTGTTGGATTAATTATCCATTGGATTAATAATCCTAAACCAAAATGTTAAAACAAACATTGAATAATTGGGCCCACGGATTAATTATCCTAATCCCACATTCTAATCCACCCAATCAAACATGCCATTAGAGAATTATCCCCACAAACAAAATAAATATAAGACAACAACCTATATATATATATATAGCTCAACTATACAAAAAGGATAGGCTACTTTTTTGTTCACATGGAATTATTGGAAAAAGGCTAACACCCCTTTAAGCCCACCACCACATCCACTAAATTTTTTTTCATCATTCTGTCATGAAAGTAAAGGTAGAGAGAAAAAGAACCAAAAAAAAGTATAAGCAAATTTTTTTTGTCAATACCAAACAACATTCTATGCTAACAATTCCTCATGGGGCACCCTTAAGTCTAAAAAAAATTTTCATCCTTCTTTGTCATGAAAGTAAAGGCAGAGAGAAAAAGAACCAAACAAAGTTTAAACAAGTTTTTTTTTTTTTTTTTTGTCAATACCAAACAACATTCTATGCTAATAATTTCTCATGGTTGCACCCTTAAGTCTAAAATCAAGAGTGATAGCTTATTTTGGAAAGTAAGAAAAAAGTTGGCTTAATGAGTTTTTTAATTTTTTTTTGAAAAAATATATAAAAAAGTAGAGAAGTGATATAATTTAAATAAGCCTATGAACTAATTAACTCAATTTTTTTTATGTTCGAAAAAAGGCCATGATGACATAATTACATTATCAAAATAAAATACTTATTAAAGCGATATGGATTGAAAATTTTGTATAAAAATTATCTAAAAAAAGTAATTTTCTTTTTGGGTAAGTAAAAAAAAATTAAAAAATTTGTAATTTTCAATCAGGAGGGAGGGGGAAGGGGAATTTTGAGTCGGTGGTTTCAACCAATTAGACCACTCCACGTGTAGAGCATGAATCATTTGTTCTAGATTCTTCCCATGTGCTGCAAATACATGCAAGACTGCAAAGACAAGCTGGAAAGGGATTGTGTGTTCTTCAACTTGGAACCTTGATCTCAAAAAATAAAAATAAAAATAAAAATAAAAAGATAGATGTTTTTGAGACCACTAAATTATGAGTTCTAGGAGTGCCTTAAACTGTGGGATTCACTATGTGATTTGTTATTTTGATCTTTGTTGTTATTTTTTGTTTTTTGGAATTACACATTAGAATTCTTAGTCACAACTAAAATAAAAATAAAAATAAAAATAAAAATAAAAATAAAAAACAACAACTACAACTATAAGTTGGAGCCTTTTCTTTTGCTCTGACAGAGTTATCTTTCATATAACCAATCAGAACGCAAACCTAGAGGATCCGCATTCCAAAGTTTATTTTTACAATGAATAGGAAAAAAAGAAAATTAAACAGATGTTGCATCATGCACTTGCAATACTCAAATTAAACATCTAATTAATGAAAAAACTTATATGGGGGGTGTTCTAAATGTAAAGGATATTGAGCCATCATAACAATTGAGCAAAAATTTACTAATTTTCTTTCATATAAATATAAACTTTCTTAAAAAATAAAAATAAAAAATAAATTGTCAAGAAATTACAGACCAAGTTCACATTATGAGAGTTTGAGTGAATAAGTGATTACACAAACCATTCTTGGTCTGTAGAAGGACATTTTCGGAAATTAAACAAATTCCCAGTTTCTCTCCCACTTTTGCTCAAGAACCCCTCTACTTCCCTCTCCAGCAAGCTTGTAGATCTGCAAATCTGCCACCTTATTCTCACTCCAAATTTTCATTCCTTTTCTCGAATTTCAAAAGTTCAAAAGAAACAGAGCAATGCTGTAATAAACTACAGAGCAACCGCTTAACCGAACAGAGCTAGACAACGCCGGCGGTGGAGGACTGTGATAGTAAAAGGGGAAGTACTGCACAATTGGGTTCGGAGGCGGCGGCGCCGGGAAGTTTCCGTACTGCGGAGGAGGGTACAAGCCACCAATAACGCCGCCCGGAGGAGGAGGGGAGTAGGAGTAGGTGGGCTGAGAGGGTGGTGGTGGAGAGGAGTAGACGGTGGCGGAGCCGGGAGGGGACGGTGGCGGAGGACAGTTGGAGGATGGAGTGGAGGGCGGCGGAGAGGGTGGAGGAGGAGAGGGAGGCGGCGGAGAAGGGTCGTTGCATGGGTTGTCGCAGGCGGAGCACATTGTGCATTCGATCTGGTACTTTGATCCAACCCATGAATTTGCAGTTGTTGTGTCTGGCAGTTTTGTCCATGCCAAGATCATGAGAAGTGAGACAAAATACTGTCTCATTTTCTGATATTGCCAGATATACATATATGTATATATATGGAGAGAGAGAGAGAGAGAGAGAGAGAGAGAGAATTTGTTGTGAGATGAGTGAAGGTAGAGAATGGGAGAGAGTGTAGTGAAGAGAGAGAGAGAGAGAGAGAGAGAGAGAAGCAGAGTGTTGTGATGGTGTGGTGGTACTGGCAGTGGTGGTAAGAAGTACACTAGCTCTTACCTCTGAGGCTACATACATACATCATATGCATACATATTTATAATATAGTTTGTTTGGATAATTATTTGATGGGTATTATTAAGATTAATAATTCATACATAGAATAAATAAAAATTTAAAAATATATGATTTAAGTTTGACACTTGTATGGTGTAACGTAATCACATTGATGTTGTTATTAATTGTATTTAATTTTGTAATTATTATTTGAAAAATAAATATCTTTGATTCATTTTCTAAGCACTCATTTGGTATTTAAGTTTTTGGGACTACCAAGTTAAAACAGTTGTCAAAAAAAAAAAATTAAAAAAAGTTGCAAAAAAATAGAATAAATAAAAATTTAAAAATATATGATTTAAGTTTGACACTTGTGTGGTGTAACGTATTCACATTGATGTTGTTATTAATTGTATTTAATTTAACAATTACTTTTTGAAAAATAATATCTTTGATTCATTTTGTAAGCACTCATTTGGCATTTAAGTTTTTGGGACTACCAAGTTAAAACAGTTGTCAAAAAAAAAAAAAAAAGACTAAAAACAGTTGGAAAAACTAGAATAAATAAAATTTTAAAAATATATGATTTAAGTTTGGCACTTGTGTGGTGTAACCTAATCACATTGATGTTATTAATTGTATTTAATTTTATAATTACTTTTTGAAAAATAATATAAGTCTACTTTGATCCATTTTCTAAGCACTCATTTGGCACCCAAGTTTTTGAGACTACCAAGTTAAAATAGTTGCCACAAAAAAAAGAAAAAAAAGAAAAAAAAAGAAGACTAAAAAAAGTTGCAAAAAATATACTAAAAAAGTCAATAAAATAAAATGTGATATTCAAATAATAATTATTTCGTTTTTTCTTTTATAAAAGTCAAAAAAGTAAATTTTTTTTTATCCTAAACGAGATTTTTAGCCTCAGGCTAAAATAGTTAAAAAGTCAACTCAGATTCCAAATGAACCCTAAATCTAATGACATATAAATAATATGATTGGTTGATAATTAAGAATATATGAGAGAATGTGTTATCTTAAATATTGTAATTAATTGTTACATTATTAAACTTAAAAATTAGATCTAAAATTTTAGACATATTGCAATGCCCTTAGTTTTTATAAAGTTGAATAATTGGTTAAAAAAATAACTTATTGAATAAAAATAAACTTGCAAAAACACTAATTTATTTGGATTTATCTACGAAGTACGTTCAATAAATAATATTGTTGAAAACTTCAAGAATGGAATAACGCCCATAGTTTTTATATAAGTAGAATAATTGGTTAAAAAATAACTTATTAAATAAAAATAAACTTGCAAAACACTAATTTATTTGGATTTATTTACGAAGTACGTTCAATAAATAATATTGTTGAAAACTTCAGAAATGGTATAACGCTAGCTACATTTTTATTAAGAGGGAGTTTGAAGTTATGTATATTTTTTAATTTTTTATAAAAAGATATGAAAAAAGTAAAAATGTGATAGGACTTAAAAAAGATAAAAAGATTAAAAAAAATTATAAGGAAGGTTAAATAGTGTCTAAATATTTAAAAATTAAAAAAAAAAGTCATTTACACTGTGTTTGGTTAGGAGATTTGAGAAGAGATTTGAAAAAAAAAAAAAAGATAGATAAAATGTGAATAAAATGTAATTATATTTTATGTACATTTTACACACTTTTTCATTTCTTTTTTTAAACTCTTTCTCAAATCTCTCAACTAAACATAATATTAATATATCTATTTTTAGGGTTGGTTTGGGGTGTTTTAAAAAAGTACACTTTTTGTCTTTTTATGAAAAGATGTGCAGAAAAATAGAGAGGTGATGTGATGAAAAAAATATAAAAAAATGAATTATATAGTAAATGTCAAACCAAGCCTTAATTTATAAAATATTGTATAAGAAGTAATAACACGATGGTTCCAAACTACTTCAAAATAACATTTTTTTGTCTAATCAAAAATTGAAACTAAAAAGAAAGAGAGAGAGTGAGAATGGGTACTAGTTTAAAGTCCAAAAGGAAAGGACGAACACCGACACGGTTTACACTTTTAACAGCTCGCATCACATTGCGACACATCAACGCGTTTACCAAGGTTAATTTTGTCAATCCATTAGAGTTCGGGGGTATTTCGGGGATTTCGTATATGTTTATATATTAAAATAAAAAATTTAATCCTTTAAATGTAACACCTTAATAATAATATGTACGAAATCCACGAACTAATTTTTCAATGTACAAATGAAATTTTACTATTTGAAAGGGAAAACTCAAATATCATATGAACAAACAACCCAATTTCAAGTCAATTTATTATAAAGGGTAAATTACAAACACCCCCTCGAGATTTGATAAAAATACATATTTTTTCTTGAAGTTTGAGAAATTACAAATTGCCCCATAAGAGTCAAATTTTCTTAACAAATTAGGGAAAATTATGGGAGAATCTGTATGAAAATAAAAATCTCAGGGGGCAATTTGTTATGAAAATATAAACCTCAGGGGACGGGATGTAATTTCTCAAACCTCAGGGGGAAATCTGTATTTTCACCAAATCTCGAAAGGGTGTTTGTAATTTGCCCTATTGTAAATTAAGCCTGTAAACTTCATTTATTTGCAGAACATTAGAAGATATTTGCATACATATGATTAGATTGCAAAATATAAAAATGTACATATGTAGGTTAATTTTTCATTAAACTAATAAAAATAACAACAAATGAAGATATTTGATGAGATTAATCGTGCTAAATAGTAGGGTAGTCCACTTTAAATGACATCCTACATTATTTAAAAGTATTGCTTCTCAAGTTGGAAATCAAAATATGTGTGACTCTGGTTGAAATGTGATTATGGAGTATTTTGAAAAGTTGGTAAAAAATTAATTTTTTTACTTTTTTTAACTTATTTTGTCTTTTGTAAGTAAGTTATGTGAGAAGTGATGTGACTCAAAATTGATAAAAAGCTGAAAGCTGACTTTTTACCAGTTTCCTAAAAGAGCACTATGAGGTCTTTTGGGAATAAAATAAAAAGTCAACTTTAAGTTTTTTACCTATTTTAGGTCACATCACCTCTCACATTTTTTACTTATAAAAAGATAAAATAAAACAAAAAAGTAAAAAAAAAAAACTAATTTTTTATCAATTTTCTAAAATACTGCTATGTAGGCTTGTGACACTGTATAACGTCTAAGCGCCTCATCTGGTTTCATCTATTTAGTTGGCCCAAGCATCACTTTCATTATAAATTTTGTTAATATGTGTCTTTAATACCCATGTTAAATTTTTTAAAAAATTATAACATAAAAATATTTACAATAAATAACGTACAATTTTTTTAATTTTTTTCTTAACGCCTGTGTTAAGAAACTGTCAAGTGCCTCATAATTGTTGACAGGACAGAAAAAAAACACATAATATGAAGGTGACAGAGCTTTACAATAACAATTGCTTCAATGATTACATACATGAATGTTCTCGTTGAGTGTGAATTTGGAATGTTCCAAGAAAATCGTAGTTTGCTCCTCATTTTACTCATGTAGCCATAATAAATAATTAAATAAATAAAAGAAGAAGAAAAGTGTCAAGTCTTATTGACAGGGTTCTTTTTAGGAAAAATATAATTTATTGTAAATTTAAGTGTATTTTGAGAAGTGAGTTATAATTTACTTCTCAAATTATAACTCATTTCATCTCTCATAAAAAAGCAACTTATAAGTTATTTATAAGCAGTTTTTCACTAAAAAACTAATTATAAGTATCTTCTCAAAATAGGCGTTAACAAAATTGTTTTAGATCAATAGTAAAATTTTACAAATAATAATAACTAAAATCATTCTTTTATTTTTATGAATCTATAAAAAAAATTTAAATACCACTTAATTATAATTTTTCATATATTTATTCACAATGGGCCATGCCCCATACACCATCACCTGGATGTGAAGCTATAACAATTATGGATATGATGTGGAGAGCTATCACTATTATTTTTTGGGTAAGTAGCTATCAGTATTATGAATAGGAAGTAAATACAGCCTACGTTTGGCAATATGGGTTTGGAGTTTTTTTTGATTAAAATAGTTACAAAAAATAAAATAAGTTTTTTAATTTAATAAGGCAAAATATCACATTTAACTTATAATTATTATATTCTTTCTCTCATAAAAAAGTCAAAAAAACTTTTCCAAACCAGACATTTTAGTCCCAAGCTAAAATAATCAAAAAAATTAAAACACCAAAAAATAAATCACTTCCCAAATGAAGCCGACGAAGCCACAGTATGGTGTCTCTTGAGTCATTGAGTTTTAAAACACAAACTTCGAAAGTTTTTAAATGCCCCCACCCAATTGATAAAAGAAAGCACATAAAAACAAAATAACAGCATTCTACTTATAACTTTTAACATACACTTCGATAGATCAACTATATTCTTACCTAACACAATGAATTCATTCAATTATTTATCTGAATTTTTAATTTCTCTTTTCTAATGCGGCAAAAGGTGTCTTAATTTCAATTGCAAACTTGAAAACACACATACAAAAGTAATAATAAGTCTAAGAATATAAAAGCTCATCAAAGAATCAAACATAAAATATACACGAATTGACAAGATTTTTAAAAGATGGGTCTCATAAAAAAATTGTGTAAAATTTTGTCCAAATGTTCTTTTTAATATTATTACTTATGTTTGATTTATGTGTTCATAATAGAAATGTAAAATTAGATCTATAGCCATTATTATTTTAGGTTACCTTTTGCTCCTCTAATAGTCATGCCTCTTCTTTTTTTTTGACTTACAAAAAGTTATATCTGCGAGCCTTTAATTTTTAGGGCATGATAGGAGTACTACATTTTTCTTCCATAACAATAACAACGGTGTATATAAAAATTTGCTAGCAAAAGTTGCAGAACCCCTAAGACATCACACGGTGTCACCGACCACTCAAAAATTTCCAGGCTGTGGTGGTGAATGCTGATGATGTAAACATAAATTTCAGAACATGAA